AGGAGTGGCCTGAGGTTTTTAGGTGGAGATTTATAGCAGACTCTGGTCCACTGCTGCTCTCTCGTCTGTGCTGGTACATCCTCTTGTGAAGTGGCTGTTGAGTTTCTCCAATGTAGCGTTCACTGCAGTCTTCACTGCACTGAATGGAGTAAACCACATTACTTTGTTTGTGGCTCGGTGTTTTGTCCTTTGGGTGGACCAGTTTCTGTCTTTAAGTGTTTGTGGGTTTGAAATACACCGTGACTTCATGTTGTCTGAAAATCCTCTGTAGCTTTTCAGAAACACCAGCCATGTACGGAATAGTTACCCTCTTTCTCCTGGGTTCTGATTCTCTGTTGTCTTGTTTTTTAGCTCTCTTTGTTTTATTGAAAGCCCATTTCTGATATTCACAAACAGTGAGGACTTTCTGCACATGTTGTTCTTCTTTCTCCTTTCCCTCTGTGTTTGTAGGCACCACTTGGGCCCTGTGGCATAATGTCTGAATAATTACGTTTGTGCTGCAGTGGACGGTGTGTATCAAAAAACAGTTACTGGTCCATGTGCGTGGGCTTCCTGCAGACCTCTACATGGAGTGGCTGGTCTTCTCCTATCATTACTGCACAATCTTAAGAAAGCCAATGTGTTCTCCTTGGCATCTTCATGAGTGAATTTGATGTTTGGATCTACAGAATGAATATGTGCAGTAAAAGGTTCCAAATCTTTAATTTGATTTCAGAAAAAATATCATCAACAAAACAATACTAATGTGTAGATGGAGTTCCTAGATAAGAGTTTAAGGCCTTCTGTTCAAATTGTTCCATATATAAGTTTGCAATGATAGGAGAGACCGGTGAGCCCATCACACATCCGTGGATTTGCCTGTAGAAGTTCCCTCTGAACTGGAAGTAGGTGGTATTTAAACTAATTTCCAGCAGTTGGTAGGTGTGAAAGTTTAGTTCTCTTTTCTAGCCCGGTATCCTGCAGTAGTCTCTTTCTTGCAGCCTCCACTGCTACTGATGTAGGGATACAAGTGAAAAGAGAGGTCACATCAAAGGAAACCATTGTCTCGTCCTGGTCAAACTGGAGATGCTTGATTTTGTTCAGAAATTTGACTGTGTTTTCAATATGATGCTCTGTATTACCTACCAAAAGGGCCAGAAGAGTCTTCGGCTGTTTGGTCACATTGTATGTGATGGAGTCTGTGCTACAAACAATGTGACTGAGCGGTACTCACTGTCTGTGAATCTTTAGGAGGTGATAGATACATGGAATGGAGTCATCAGGATACAATCTGTAATACATCTATCGATCAATGACTTCTTCCTTCTCCAGCTTCTGTAAGCAGTTAATGATCTTCTTTTTGTACCACACTGGTGGAGTCTCATTTTAGTAATTCATAGGTAGCTGTGTCACTGAGTAGGCTGGTCACTTAGGCCTCATGATCAGCTAAGTTCAGAATCACTGTGCATCTCCCTTTGTCTGCTGGCAGGATGTGATGCTGTGGTCCTTCTCTAGAGCAATAATGGCCTTCCTTTCCTCTGGTGCTACATTGGAGGGTGGAGGTTTGGCATTGCTCAGTGCAGCTGTTAATTTCATCTGTCATAAAGATATTTGATGTTAGCCACACCTCCTCCTCTGGGATGCTCAAAAAGTGTGCCTCAAGCTATTTCAGTGGATTTTGGACTGGCCTGGGGAGTGTTGCATGGAGATAAGGACATACAGTAGAATAGTTTTAGATTAATTTATTACTCATTAATTGACTGGATGATTGTTCTAGCCTATTATACTTGTATTCAAAATACATTCTATTTTATTGGCATGTATGCCATTTTTGACATCAAATTGTCAGGGGACTACAGTCGGAAATTACATTTGTGTTTGTTTTGTGCACTGTCCCCGATATACAAACAAATAACCTAAATTGATATAGTTTAAAGGTGCACTATGTTAACTTTTAGGGCCGACCACATGCTTGTCTCTGCTTTTAAATCTCCTAAAAACACACCTTTTTTCACTGGCTTTTAACAGATGAGATATAGGTTCCTTGTTGTTAATTACCTTCAGTATCTTGTGTCTTAATGTATTTAATAGTTGCATTGTGACGTTGACAGTGATTGTGTCTGTTTATTCAATGTTTGTGAACAGCACTTTGGCCAGCTGTAAAGTTTTTAAAGTGCTTCATGAATAAAGTTGGTATGGTATGGGGATTGTATTGCTATGCCTGAAATATTCTACAGTATGGATTTAAACTTATCTATTTCTATGAAGACTTGATTTACTGTTTATAGTACCCCACCTCTACCACCAGAAGTTATATAATGTGGCTTTAAAGCAAAGTGAGTTATGTGGTCTCATTGAGAAGTCAGAAATTTATTCAGAATGTTGGACTTTTTATTGTAATTCTTTTAAATTGGCACTGACGCTTTCTGCATTTCATGTTTTATAATCTCTATTTCATCCAGAATTACCCATATTGTTCATTGCAGGTGTATTTTTTTGTACTTGTGATCTGTTTATTAATCAGTTTTATGTAACATATAGAGAACAAAGGTCTGATTTATGATTTTATGATTAGGGGAATGTTATTTATATCACATGTACTCAAATTTCTTACTGGAAGAAACATTAGGGCAATCGTAAAATGCCATAAAGTCTTAAGACGAGTTCAAAACTCATGGGTTTTATTAAATAAAAATAAATATAAATATTAAATATTTTGTGCAATATGAGACATATGAGTAATGTGCTTTTTCTTTGTGAAAAACAATATGGCTGCTGCGAGATCTGGTGAGTTTAAATAACTAAAATTTCAGTTTCTCACAGAAAAAACTAAAGACACAGAGCAATTTTGCTCCTATGAGTGAATGAATCTCCACCAACATGTGCAAAAAAAACAATATATGATCATTATTCATAGTGATAGAATAATATGCACGCAACAGGACAGTTTAAACCCAACTTGTCTTTGCAGAGATACAAGTTCCACCTAGTCATAAAGGTTAGCCACACCTCCTCTGCTCTGGGATGCTTAAAAAGTGTGCCTCAAGTTATTTCAGTGGATTTTGGACTGGTCTGGCGTGTGTTGCATGTAAAAGGTAAGAAAATACAATAGAATAATTTCAGATAAATTTATTGCTGGATGATTGCACTAGCCTATTATACTTGTACTCAAAATACATACTGTTATTGGCATGTACGCCTTTTTTAACATCAAACTGTCCAGGGACTGCAGTTGGAAATTTGTAATTCTGCTATAACCTGGCACAAATATATCACCTTTTTTATATAAACTGAAGTTTTTTTTGTTTTTTGTGCGTATTGTCACTGATATATATACCAGAGGTGGAAAATGTACAGAAAAATTGTCATCAAGTAAAAGTATCTTTACTTTGCTTAATTCCTACTCAAGTAAAAGTTACTATCTAAAAATCTACTCGAGTAAAAATAAAATAGTGTAGTGTGAGTAAAAGTTACTTAGTTACTTTCAGTTATTTGATGTAAAAAAGGATGAGTCACAAATCTAATCTAATCAACTTTCAGGTGATACAGTGCAAACTTTGTTCAGTGTAAACTTTGTACATTTTAAAGACAACTGAGCTAAACCAGGACTATGCCAGGACCAAACCAGGACTCAACCAGGACTAGACCAGGATCAAACCAGGACTATACCCTTGTATACTATACCAAGTCTAACTGATCCAAGTTGAGTCCAGTGGTATGGCACGGGTAGGAAGAGGGCACTGATCACTGGTGTGCTGCTGCTCTCTGCTCAGCATGATCACCTCCTGCTCCACTAGATGCCGGCACTGACCCATGCCTTGCACCAGTTGCTCCAGCGACAGCTCAGCCCCAGGCGTGGTGTAGCACCACAGTCCCGTGGCACACCTCGGCATGTACACCCCACACAAGTGGCCCTCCTGACGCGCCACAGGGGGCAGCAGCCGCAGCCTGGCTCCTGGACAGGAGCTTACTAACACCGGCGTGGCAGTCACATTTTGCATTGAATTATTATGTTATTCTCTATTTTGTGTTTGAACGCAAATAGCTGTCTGAGGTTTGGCTAGGGGTTTCCTTCGCTTTCCTCTAAAGAATTATTCAATGCACCTTCTTCATGAAAATTGTCCATGACGACCTCGATCTGTGGCTCGACACCAGTATCATCCAAGTTGATCCAAGACAGACTGATGGTTCTGTATAATGACTGTACATTCTATAATGAAAATGCCACACGTGCCCCCGTGTAATTTCCTTTCATTTGTTACTTAGTAACAAGGGTGGGTTTCAGTGTAATGAAGTAAAAATACTTGGGTCAAAATGTATTTGAGTTAAAGTAAATTTACCTATTTCAAATACTACTTTACCTATTTCAAAAACTACAAAAAATTACAAATTACTCATAAAAAATACTCAATTACAGTAAGGTGAGTAAATGTAATTCATTACAGTATGGATTTAAACTTATCTATTTCAATGAAGACTCGATTTACTGTTTATAGTACCCCACCCCCACCACCAGAAGTTACATAATGTGGCTTTAATGCAAAGTGCATTATGTGGTCTGATTGAGAAGTCAGAAATTTGTTTAGAATGTTGGACTTTTTATTATATTCTTCCAAACTGACAATGATACTCTTTTTTGTACTTGTGATCTGTTTATTAATCAGTTTTGTGTAACACATGGAGAACAAAGGTCTGATTTATGATTTTCTGATTAGGGGAAAGTTATTTATATCACATGTACACATATTTCTTACTGGAAGAAACATTAGGGCAATCGTAAAACGCCATAAAGTCTTAAAGACAAAGTTCAAAACTCATGGATTTTATTGTTACCATTTTAAGTACAGCTACAGCAAGACACATCAAAAACAACATGTCTGTGATGAGGAAACATTATAATATATATCAAAAAATACTGCAATATGAGCCCTTTAAATGTTTTGTGCAATATGAGACATATGAGTAATGTGCTTTTTCTTTTCAACAGTTCCAAAGTGTGACCCTTCCCGCTGAAAAACAATATGGCTGCTGCAAGATCCGGTGAGTTGAAATCACTAAAATTTCAGTTTCTCATAGAGACTCTAAGAAGATGCAGAGCAATTTTGCTCCTATGAGTGAATGAATCTGTAAAACTGCTCATTTTCACCAAGATGTGCAAAATCTGAGGTGGAGGATATGCAAATGAAGTGAGTGCAGCCACATTTATTACAACTGTCAATTAAAACTGTCTGATAATATAGTGCGCTGGAGAGACAGGTGTACTTTTTTTACACAGGATACCTACTGAAATCTGGGCACCAATAGGGCAGTTGATACAGATATTTAAATGCTTTAAAATGACCCACATGGGCAGATGACATAATGACATGTGGTTTTCAAAGCTGCAGTAACAAAATATAAACTCTACATCTGCAACATTTTGAATCCTACCACAAGCCTGCCACACCAGCTGTCCATGAATCTGGGCTGTCACCATAGACTATATAAAGTGGACTCAGTGAGTGTGACATCACTCATAGCATTATGCTCCACTCCGTGCTAGCGGTTACAGGAGCCAGGCTCTATATTGTGAAGAGAACTGTTTTAGGTTTTAGTTTGTACAAAATTACCAGGGTCATGTAGTGTGGGTTAATATGAAAATTTTAAGGTGAAAAAAAATGACGAGGCTCACAGCAGCAGTTACAGAGAAAGGGGCCACAGTCCAACATCAAGTCAAAGGTAGCCAGGCTTAGTAGAAGCCGGAAGAGCCCACATGCGAACTTCCTATTTGGAAAGCAGGCATGTTAGCTATGTCCATTTATACAGTATATACAGATATGGCTCTCACGTGTCTGTCCCATGTCCTAAAGAATGTCCCACATCCTAAACACAGTTCCACGTCCTAAAGACTGTCCCATGTCATAAAGTAGAGGCTGTGAGGTCCGGTCACTGTGTACAGGGATCCTGGATGAGGTGCGTTTCCCTGCACCACTCTGATGTCACAGACAGTGCAGGATCTCACCCAGACCATAAACATACAAAGAAAAGAGTTGGTGACACCAAGTCATTTCACCTGTAAATGCAAAAAGGTTTATGTCAAGTTTGGCTGGTATTTTGGTCAGGTGAAGATCAGGAAGCTTTCTATATCTTTGGCTTAGTCAGATTCAAATATCTTTTTCGATGTGTCTTGAAATGTTCTGTGCTCTGCTTAATGTGCTTGTGTGGGGTATGGCTTTTACAGTTTATCCATTGACACAAAGGACAAGCACTGGACTTTCATCATACAACAAGTTTTTACAATGTTGTGTGCAAGTGTAGTAATGGGAAGAACAGTACCACAGTACTGCAGTATTACAACCATATACTGTATAAAGAAGTGGACCAAGCTAGTGTGACATCACCCATGGCGTTCAGCTCCACTCAAATTAAGTTTGCGATGCTAACGGTTACAGGGGCGAATTTGAAGCCAGGCTCTATATTATGAATAGGATTTTTTAAATGGATAAAATAGCAAAATAAAAAACCCAGGATCATGTATAGTGGAGCTGTTAAGGACCAAAATAGTGCCCAATTGTTCACTTTTATGGTACAAGCATGAAACGTTGCCAGATGATTAACATCCCTAGGAGCAACATTTCTGGATATGGAACCAAGTCTTAGTCGACCCTGGAGCCAAGTACTGCACATGTCCCAAAATGGCCGACATGGAAACGAGCCTGGAGCTAAATTACTGCTTAAACTGCCTTTTTTTGGAAAATAATGTTAAATTATCATATTGGTTATAAAGAAGAATATGTATTCACAAGATACTAGCTACTTTCAATGCTGTTTTTAAAGTGAAAGTAACATTAAATTACAAAAAAAATTTGCTACTAAACTAATGGTGTTTTTTTTTTAAAGGTGCATTGTGTAACTTTTCTGGTCGCCATGGAGATGTTATTGCTTCATCAGGAATGTTTCACAGTATGGCATTAAACCTTTCTATCTTCATGGAGAATAAACCTGACCAAGTTACAGGTCAGATCTGTGGAGAGGCGACCACCCTGCTCACAGTCAGAATGTCTGTTTTTCTCTGTATTTTTGAGCTTTTAAACCACCTGTAATGGAATAAATGTAAGACAAAGCTGTTTAAAGTGATACTGTGGAACATTCCAGGCAGAGCAGTGACATCTCCATAGAAACAAGCAAGTGACTGACCCTGAATCATAAAGTTACACAGTGCATCTTTCATAGTGTTATTTACTGTTTCTAGTGCTTGTTTGGTAATTTTAAAGTAAACTAGGTAAATTTGCAAAAGAATCTGGATAAAAATGTGTAAAAATAAATGTGCATGAATTCCAGTGGCCTCTGTGTTATCAAGTATTATGTGACATCACCAGTTTTGGGAGTAACACGTTACAAAAGTAACGAATTACTGTAATGCATTGCTTTTTGCTGTAACGCAGTAATGTAAGGCATTACAGGGAAAAAAATTGTAATATTTTACTCGGTACCAATGTGAGTAACGCGCATTACAATGCTTTTTTAACCTGGATTGAAGTTGTGAGTTTTTCTTCATAGAAATTCGCTAAAATCACCGCAATATCAGGAGGGGTGAAACACCAGAGACGCGGCCGCGTAGACGTCAGTCGAGCGAAAGGACCGACGCAGAACTTTACGCTGTTTAGACCTGGGTCACTTCTGGTTTAGACATGGTTTACAGTCGTATCTCACTCTATCGCGCTTTCACCTTTCGCGGTCTCGCTGTTTCGCAGATTTTTATTTTAAATTTTTTGTGCAATTTTGCATGCTTTTTGTTTTTACAGTGTATGAACAGTATTGTGTTCCTCCCGCTGCGTCCTGATTGGCTAAGGGACTCCTGTCTCCTGTACAATACAGAATGTGTTCAGCTGCCAAATTTAAATAAATGTTCGATCTCTAGCAGTGTGATTCTGAAGTGTTGTATGTCTGCAAGTTTTCTCCCTGACAAAATCCACAATGTCGACGAAATGTTCTGCACCAACAAAGGCTCCTATGCTCGTGCTCAAAAGACAGAGGAAGATGCAAACCATCGCACAAAAAGTTGGACTTCTGGACGCGCTGAAGGAAGGTAGAACTTACATGCTGTAGCAGAGTCTTGCACCGGGTCGGGTACAGTTGCTGAAATCAGGACCACGAGCCTGCGTAGCAGGGTGTCCGTAAAGCGCAATCAGGCGATGGCCGCTCTTACCTCCGTGAGGTGCGGAGCAGAGCCAGTCCTTTGTCCTGCGGTCACCTTCGAGCCCATCCCGACAGTGAGTCCTGTTTTAGTCCTAGTTCAGTCTTGGTTTAGTTCTCCTCTTCAGTCCTGGAATCAGTCTGAGGTTAGTCCTGTTATAGTCCTGGTTCAGTCCTGGTTCAGCTCTGGTTTAGTCCTGGTTCAGTCCATATACGGCGCAAAAGTTCAGCATCTTTGCAGTTATTTTGGTGAGAGTAACTTAAAGTGCTGCAATAGTAATGTAATGCCTTACATTTTAAATGCAGTAATATTGTAATGTAACAAATTACTTTGAAATGACAGTAATAAGTAATAAATAATGCATCACAGTTTTAAAGTAACTTGCCCAAAAGTGGACATCACACAGGACTGCCCCGATTACAGCCAGGTGTTTCTGTTTACAAATCCCTGACTATGGGTGGAGTTTGTAGTGTGGATACATGTTAGACCAATCACACTGTTCCTTATACCCCTAGCCCCGCCCCTCTCTCCTTTCTTCTTTAGTCCTCCAGGTAACACTCAGTTTATCTGCTCTATTTGAAATGTGTTTGTGGGCGGAGTTTGGGTGTTTTGTCCCACTTTAAGGCAAATGTAAAACTTCATGAAAATAGTTTTGTGTAGGTTTGATTTTCTATCTTCATTTCTCTCTCCGCCTCCTCGTTTTTTAGTCTGTATATTCAATGGTTAAATCAGCTCTTCGGTCTTCCTTTTAGTTTCCTGGTTCAAGTGGTGAAAAGATGTGGGTAAAAGTGCATAACAAAACATCTACTCAATTACAAGTACTACTGTGAAACATGTACTTGAGTAAAAGTATAAAGTATGTATACAAAAACTACTAACTATGCAAGCACTTTATATAAGGCTTTGTATATAAAACTTGAAGATGACTTAAGTTTCTTTAATACAGTCTTGTTATGGACGTTACGCCTGCTTGTTACCATGGAGATTTCATTGCTTTGCCTGAAATATTTGGCAGTATAGCATTAAACTTATTTATATCACTTTAATTTTATTTTGGGTGTTTTATTGCTCAAAAATACCTTGGAAAAAAACATGAATTCTTATTGTGAGTGGGATCACCTCTCCATATATCTGACCTGTAAACATGGCCTGGTTGCTCCGCTGGCTTGTCTCCATACTACTAATAAATTTATGCTTAAAAAATCTCTATGCCTTAATATTTGAATTGCCAGTGTGTAAATGAGCTTGCATTTTATTATCCTTACCATAATAAAGGAATGTTAGATAAGAAACATTTGCTCTTACATTGTCTTTTAAGGGGTCATGGTGATGGATTTAAATCTGGCATGTGCCACAAATAAACCACAACCATCACCAAGTGTGGCCAAAAGTGGCCATACCGGCTTGTCAAAGCCTGACCTCATCAGATCTCAGAAGCTCAGCAAGGCTGGGGCTGGTTAGTACTTGTGTGGGAGACCACTGGGAAAATCTGGTGTCACAGGGGGCACCAGTCGCCAAAACATTGTCATTGTGTCCTTAGGCAAGGCACTTCACCCACATTGCCTAGTATGAAAGTTGTGTGAGTGATGATGGTGGTTGGAGGGACCAATGGTGCAGATTGACATGGCAGCTGTGCTTCCGTCATGTCTATTTTAGGTATTTGAGCAATGAACACATTTTCAATCCTTAACTGAATAAACACAAGACCGATATGTTTAATGTCGTACAGTGAAACATTCCAGCCAAAGCTATAACATCTTCATGAAAGAAGCAGGTTATGGACCCCCCACCAGAAAAGTTATAATGCACCATTAAGAATTTTAGTATTTTATTTCACCAGATCTCCTCAGCTCTGCAGACTGGGGATGGAAGAGTGATGCAGTCATTGGTTACTGTTGTGGACCACCAGACAAAGGACATATGCTATAAACTTATCAAGTGTGGATGCAGAGTAGCCTGAGCTGGGCAATGCAAGTGTGAAAAGATAAAGTTGGCATGTACAGGTTTATGCAAATACGGCGGCAGCTGCACTTAGAGCACTTTGAATAAGTTTAATGATTTAAGGTAGATCTCTGTTAAGTGTTTGGGGTTAAGCCTCGCTTCCATGCAACATTTAATTATCATTGTCAAACATGATAAGACACTTACAGATCTTTAGAGATGTTTAAATTGTTTTTGTTATCAAAAACCCAATAAATATTGCTTTGAAAAATGGATAACTAAGCAACTTAGATGATAAGAAAAGGATTTTGCTGTATTTTTTTTATGCCAGCCTCGTTTTCATATAGTCCATTTTGTGACATGTGCAGTTCTGAACTCCAGTGTTGAATTAGACTTGGTTCCATATCCAGAAATAATAGTCCTGGTGGTGTTACTAATGTGGCATCATGCTTGTACCATAAAAGTGAACCATTTTGGTCCTTAACAGCTCCACTAGTCAAGTGGATTAATACAAACATTTTAAGACCAAAATGATGAGGCTCATAGCAGCAGGTACAGAGAGAGGAGCCACAAGATTCCAATGTAAGTCAATAGGTCAAGTCGGAAGGAACCGGAAGAGCCCACATGTAAACTTTTCCATTTCCCATTTGGAACGTGGCAACAGGTGTGTTAGCTATGTCCATTTATATATATAGTCTATGATTACAACCAACTAGGTTCCTGTGCATAATTGATAGCATAGCCTAATAGACAGGAAAGCACAGGTTACCTCCCCTCTGCCAAATTTCTTGGCAGGAGGGAGAGTTCCTATGTCCCACTGAAATAGGGATTATCAGTATTTCTTATTTATAAATAATAACAAACTACACATTAATTCAACATAATTCTCATGAATGTAAAAAATCTTTTCATTCCAGTGTCTGAGCTGAAGCTGATTCTTCTGGGGAAAAGTCCGCGTCTGAAGGCCTCAGTGGGAAACTTCCTTTTGGGAAAAAAAAAGTTCAATCAACATAATACATGTGTAAAAGTCAGAGGAAGATTTAATGACAATCCGGTGACTGTGATCTACACTCATGACCAGCTGCTCTTCACTGCCTCTCAAGGACTCAGTTGGTTAATACAAGACATTAAAGATCAGAGTGGCCCTGGTCCTCATGTGTTCCTGCTGTTTGTACAGCCTGAAGCCTTCACTGATCAACACAAATGCATACTAGAGTCAGTCCTGGAGAACCTTGGTGAGCAGGACTTCCAGCATTCACTGGTGCTGATGTCCAGTACACAAGCAGTGACACCAGACTCCATGGAGAAATACATGAGGGAGCCACATATAAAAGACTTGATCACCAAATGTAAGAACAGATATATGTGGATGGATAACATGTATCTAACTGATCTGAATCTGAAAGTTGAAGAGCTGTTTTCAAAAATCTGTAACATGATGAAAGAAAGCGACGCAGATCATTTGAACCCTCACCCCTCTAAAGACCAAGGCACAGGTCAGACTGTGGTGATGCATAGAGATGTGGAGCCACACCTGCCACAGGAGTGTCTGAGGATTGTGCTCTTTGGGAAAACTGGCAATGGAAAAAGTGCCACTGCCAACACAATTTTGGGCCGAGAGAGTTTCAAATCTTACGCCCACCCTCAATCTGTCACCAGAATCTGCATGAAAGATGAGGGTGATGTTGATGGACAGAGGGTTGCTGTTGTTGACACTCCTGGTTTATTTGATACATCTTTGTCCAATGAGGAGCTGCAAGAGGAGCTTGTAAAATGCGTCACATTGCTGGCTCCTGGACCACATGTCTTCTTACTGGTGCTACAGATCGACCGATTCACAAAAGAAGTGAGTGACTCAGTGGATCTGGTCAAAACGTACTTTGGCAAAAAATCAAGCCCCTTTATCATCATTCTCTTCACTAGAGGAGATGCCCTCGAGGGAAAGTCCATTGAAGATTTCATTGAGGGAGATCAAAGATTAAAGGAAATTATTCAAGAGTGCGGAGGGAGGTTCCAGGTCTTTAACAATAGAGAGAAAAACAATAGGTCACAGGTTCAACAACTCATGGAAAAAGCCAACAAAATGGTGCT